TTTCTGATCGGCCTGCGATCTGGGCCGTCCGCGGCGCGTTACCGGCCTGCGATTCAGGCCGTGAGATATGACGTTTAGCAGTTCTTATAGTAGGTGTAGACACTCATAGACAATATTAATATGTACACTCATAGACAATATTAATATAGTACACTTAATTAAAGTTAATTAAACAGTGTTTTTGTTTGTTTTCTTTTCTTAAATCACTTCTAAAAGAGGGTACCGACACTAATAATCTCCTGAATGGATATGACAACCAGAATGCTGAGTCCTGAATGAATATGACCTCGATTAGGTCCCGAATCAGCCGACGAAGGCCTACCGTCTTCACCCGCATAGAGCGCATGGTCATTATCGCTGTATCTAGACTGACGGTTGCCCCCCCAATTACGGCTACAATGACCAGGCGTTCTATTCGGGTGTGAAGATGGTAGTGTTACTCTACCCTAACTTGCAATAAAGCAGTTTCTCACATGTGTGACCAGAGGCCCGAGTTCGTCTCTTCCTTTTTTTTTTTTTTTTCCAAACAGAACCTTATAGCTCTGGCTCATTTCCATTCTGGAGAGCGTCAGTCCGGTTCCTTTTTTTTTTTTTTTTCTATACATAAACCGCTTGGGCATTGAAATTGTGTATCCCGGATTATTCTTTTTTGCTTTCACTTTCTCTCCATCTCTGTCATCTTTGTTACATGCCGCAAGCATCTTCTCCCTCCCCCCCCCCAACTGCGGCGCAGCAACGCTGCGGCGGGTCCACTTGTATTTAAAAAAAAAAAAAGATGGTTAGAAGGGTAGCTGCGAAGTTTATTTGGAAGCCATTTGGGAAAGAGGATGCTGGCTTCATTTCCAAAGTGGCCTGGGATCTGATTTGCTTCCCCCATACGGAGGGCGGATTGGGGTTGCTGGACCCCTGCCGCCAGAACGCGACCATGTTAGCCAGATGGATCATTAAGGTAATAGAGACTGAAACCGAGGAACACTGGATTCTACTGGCAGAACAAATATTGGTTGCAGAATGGAATCCACCGCACTACAGGGATCTGTGGACATGGTGTATGATGGACTCCTTCCTCCGCTGGCAAATCAAATCAGAATGTTGGAGAGGATTCTTGAAGGCCTAGAGAAAAGAAGGACCACGGTTGGGGGTTCACCGGCAAGTCAAATTTTACGTAGTGGAACTCGCCCAAGCCCCTCCCCGTAATACCTGAGACAAAAGCAAATTGGGGTTAATTGATTTTTAGTTTTAGTTTTTTCAATTTTTTTGACCATTTCTCGATTTATGCGGGGCATCCTTGCGCAGGGGCCATGGTAATCTTCTTTCTCTGTATCGTTCCAATTTTAATTTTTAACGGATGACCCCGAAGGACAGGGGGTTCCTGGATTAGTCATCTCAAGATTCTAAACTTTTTGCAGTTCACCATAACTGCAGGTGATTTTTGAACATGGAACACTGCTGGCATCCGTGTTTATGGCTCACCTGCAGCTATGGTGGATGTCATATTGGTTCGGTGGTTGAAGTCGAGAGCAGAGACAAAGACACCGCCCGGCGTAAAGATGGTCAAGAAAAACTTGAATTTACTTACGTGAAATTTTCTCTAAGCTTGTGCAGTAATTTGATTGGGACACCTCCAGAGAAATTGTTGTTATCAAGATGACTGTTTGACAAGGCACAGATCACAAACAAACAGGCATATCAACACAGAGTACGTCAGGGCAGGGCAGTGCTATGGTCAAATTTCCAAGTCTGATTCATGCTGCAAAGCTCAAATTGAAATATAAACATGAAGCCGATTGGAGGTGAAAATAGAATGATGAGGACGACGACGAAGAAGAAGAAGAAGAAGAAGAAGAAGAAGAAGAAGAAGAAGATTTCAAACACATAACAACCCAACAGTTATCCCCTCATCGCGCCACCTGAATCCATCACCCTCATACTCACCTCACATCATATTATTCAAATCAGACATGAAGAACAAGAAATCAAAGTCAATCTTACCAGCAATACTTACAAGAAACACTCCCCTCCCGGGTCTCTCTCTCTCTCTCTCTCTCTCTCTCTCTCTCTCTCTCTCTCTCTCTCTCTCTCTCTC